GCAACTATAACATACAACTATCTACTGGGGCTTTGGGGAAAAAAGAAAAGGAGGAGGATTGACAATAGATGTTAGCTCAGAGCCCGTCTTCCTCAGGAAAAAAAAAAAAAAACTGGGGACTAAAACCTAGACAAGTTGACGCATAAAACTTATCATCATGGCCCATCCCTTGTCAACTTGGCACTCACAGACATCTCCTTAAACCACATTTACTCTCCAAATAAAGACAATAACAAAGTCATAATTCCACCTAACACAATAAAACTATTCTGTGTATAACTGAAAATATGGTAACCCTTTCTCTAGAAGATATAAAGTCCTTGGGAAAGTTCACTCTTCTCCCTTGATATCCTGTAACTTAAATACTGTGATATAAAGTTAATTTATTACTGTAGCTTATGTTACATGATGCAGGGATAAAAGAGAGATGAAAACAAAAAAATATTTGGTTAATATATAAACCAAATATTGTATGTGTGTATATATATATAATTCATTTTCATGTATTTATAACAAAAGAAATATTGATAACTATTACAAGTCTCATTTCTGCAACTGGTCACATGGTCTCAACTAGTATTTATAACTACCCATTCCATATTCTCTTTGGTCTCAACAAGCACCTCAGCTGTTCATGGTTCTTCGCCTGGTATGTTGAGCCAAACCTTCATTCCAAAAGGGTCTGGGCCATTAGAAGTCCTGCCTGAACTGGGTTGTTGTAGTTCTCTATTAACTTTAATCACAGTCTTGATGGAACTAAGAGATACCCTAAGGGATCTCATGTATCCCAGATATACTCTTCTTTACCTCATTGTATAGTAGCAGCTCAATTTTCCCTTGGTTTTCAGGATCAATCGCCTGTTGGTTCAGACATATGGGGGGCCCAAAATGGCCAAGTGTCAGCCTCAAATTCCAGTTCAGTGGAATCATTGTTGTGTCTCCTAGTGGAAACATTCCTTCCTTTGGAACTAAGACCTCTAGACCAGAGAAGTCACGGGGATAGGAAGTAAACATTTTACTAACGGCTCACTAGGGGTAATAGGGAATGGAGCCACTCCAAATTCTATCCCTTGATTCCTGGACACATGATTATTGGTAATGGAGAAACAGCCCTGTATTTTGGATGGTGATTTAGAGCAAATACAGCATCCTGGAGAACATTGTCCCAGTCCTACAAAGAACTGCTACCTAGCTGGTGCTGCAACTGCATCTTCAAAAGGTCATTTTACTGTTATATCAAACCAGCTGCCTTAGGATGGTGGGGAATGTGGTAAGACCAATGGATTTCATGAGCATGGGCCCATTGCTGTAGTTCACTTACTGTGAAGTGTATTTCATTTGTTGATCAGAGTGAATGCTGTGTGAAATACCATGACAGTGAATAAGTCATTCTGTAAGTCCACAGAGGGCAGTTTTGATAGAAGCATTGCATTGAGGGAAGGCAAATCTATATCCAGAGTTAGTGTCTCTTCCAGTAAGAATATAGTGCTGCGTCTTCCATGTTGTAGTGGCCCAATATAACCAATCATCACCGGGTAATTGGCTAATCACACCAGGGAATGGTGCTATATTGTGGATTCAGTGTTGGTCTTTGCTACTGACAGATTGTGCATGGGCTGTAGCCAGGCCAGCCTTGGAGAGTGGAAGTCAATATTGCTGAACCCATGCCCAACCTCCATCCCTGCCACCAGGGCCATTTTGTTCATGAGCTCATTGGGCAGTGACAGAAGCGAATGGGGAAAGAGACTGACTAGTATCCGCAGAATGGATCAACCTTATGCTTTGTTATTAAAATACTCCTCTACTGAGGACAACCTTTGGTGAGCATTCACATGGGACACAAATATCTTCATGATTTTTGCCCATTCAGAGAGCTCTATTCACATTCTTCTTCTCCAGAACTGCTTGTCACCAATTTTTGAATCATGTTCCTTCCAAGTCCCTGACCATCCAGGCAAACCATTGACCACAGCCTATAACTATTTAGACCATATTGACTTA